TGGCGCGTTAGAAAAACTTTTAAATAAAGCCTCTGAGCTACTCTTTTTCCTTTTTTTGGCTGAGAGTTCTTCGGAATCTGAAATGGGGGGTCTTTTACTAGCAGCCTTCTTATCTTGCTGTCCACTGGTGATCGTGAGTAAGTTACTATCTGGTTTTGGCTCTTTCGACATGGGTTTCGGTTCCTTGAAGGCCATCTTAGGAACGATTTTTTCTTCTTTCAGTGGTTTATTTTCTTTGGGTTTCTTAGAGGATTCTTTGGAAGATTTGTTGTGATCCCTGGAAGGTTCTTTGAAGGCACTTTTATGTTCTCTGGAGTCTTTAGAAGGTTTTTCCTTGTGCTCCTTCGTTAATTTGTGAGGCTTGGAAAAACTGCTGCTGCTGCTACTGCTGCTGCTGCTGCTGCTGCTGCTGCTGCTACTGCTGCTGCTGCTGCTGCTGCTGCTACTGCTGCTGCTGCTGCTGCTTTCCCTGGTGGTCCAGTGGTAAAGAATCCACCTTACAATGCAGGGGACACAGGTTCGATCCCTGGTCAGGGAACTAAGATCCCACATGCCACTGGGCAACTAAGCCCAAGCATCACACCTATTGAGCTCACACGCCTCAACTAGAGCCTGTGTGTGCTGCAAACTACAGAGCCCATGTGCTCTGGACCCCGTGTGCCACAACTACAGAGCCCATGTGCCCTGGAGCCTGTGTGCCACAACTAGAGAGAGAAAACCTGCACACCACAACTAGAGAGAAGCCTGAGTGCTGCAACGAAGAGACTGAGCGCCATAAGGAAAGATCCTGCACGCCTCAATGAAGATCCTGTGTGCTGCAACTAAGAGCTGATGCAGCCAAAAATAAATATAAGTAAGTAAATAATAAGTAAATCTTTAAAAAAAATACTCTTTCAAAGCTATATGTTATAAAGACTGCCAGAAGCCAAATCATGTAACAAATGGCTCATAACATTTTTTGTTTTAATTTATTTTTGTCTGCGTTGGGTCTTTGCTGCTGCCCGCGTGCTTTCTCTGGTGTGGTGAGCAGGGGCTACTCTTCCTTGCGGTGCGTGGGCTTCTCATCACGGTGGCTTCTCTTATTGCGGAGTATGGGCCCTAGACCCCACGGGCTTCAGTAGTTGTGGCACGCAGGCTCAGCAGTTGTGGCGCACGGGCTCAGCAGTTGTGGCTCGCGGGCTCCAGAGCACAGGCTCAGTAGTTGTGGTGCACAGGCTTAGTTGCTCTGCATAACGTGGGATCTTCCCGGACCGGGGCTCGAACCCGTGTCCCCTGCATTGGAAGGTGGGTTCTTAACCACTGCACCACCAGGGAAGTCCCTCATAACATTTTTGATTAGTATGTTAAGTGATTTACCCAGATTGACTATTTTCACAATAATCCTACACAGTAAAGGCTATTATGATCTCTATTTCACAAAAAAAGAAACTAAGAAATACAGAAGGTCAAATTGTTTAACTAAGATCAATGGTGGAGTGGGGATTCAAAACACAGTCTGTCTGACACCAGAGTGCATACTCCTAATTATCTGATTACTTTACTACCTACCTACCTACATACTCATCAACAAATAAGTGATTCCTCAAAAATCATGCAGGCATATAAACCACGGACGCACCACTTTTTTTTTCTCTACTCACATACAAAGTATATAAAAATCATAACTGAGAAGAACTATACGAATCAACAATCTAAGCCTCCCAATCCATCTTAGTAGCACTGATTTTTATTTTTATATAAAACCTGAATCTAACTTAATTATGGAAAAGCTTCTTTAAAAAGTTCTTCCTTTTAATCGTAACTAACCTGTACCAAGGCAAGATATTTTCTTTACAGACATATCAGGTGAATAACCTTTTTTCCCTGGTCCTTCCCAATTCTTCACACTCGTCCAATTTCTTTTTGTGTCCTTTTTCTGTTTCCAAAGTCCATGATCTCTGCCTGCTATGTCTAAAATTACCCTCTACCCCGCCCTCCACAAAAGAACATAAATCTGGCTCATATTCAAATAATGAAGCTGTAAAGGTCCTTCGACAGATCAGGTCATCTGATCCTACTTACTCAGATGCAGACACACTCACCACCAGGGCAATGTGAATGGTGCCCCCTGAAGGTGGGCCTGTCCCAAGCTATCCAATCAGTTCCTCGCCAAGGGAGACTACGGGGTGCTTAGTTCTCTCCATTACAATTGCTTCCTGCTCCTTCGGTCTTAACCACAGGAGGGACACCAAGTAGGAGAAAGGCCAAACACAGGCTACCTTTACCACTGGAGAAAGGGAATTTCAGCCCTCCTCTATCCTCCTTCATTCACAGAAAGTCTTTTGGGCGCTGGATTACTTGGAAACACTTCTGTCAATTCTCTTCTGTTCTACCACCTATATTTAGAAGATTAAACCAAAGCAGCAACAATAAAAGCATTACTACCAGAAAACTAATAAGGAAAGTACAGTTGTTGGGTTTTATACCCAAATAATACCCAAAAGTCTTTAGAGGCTTTCACATTACAAAAACTCCTGTTATGGTCACTGGATAGGTGGCTCTGACACGTCATGAATCATCTTGAAAATTTGCTACCTACTGTATGGAATTACAATTCTCACTCTTCATTCCAGAAGATTTTGCAAGGTATTGCTTTGGATAAACCTATCAAGTTGAACATGATGTTTAGGAAAAGTCATACCTTATAAATCATATATAAAAGGGAGGGAGCAAGAGGCAAACAAAAATAAGAATACACAGAATTAGCTAAAGAGGAAGATCACCTGTGATAATTTCCTGTAGAAAGTGCATTCAATAGTGCTTTATGAATGCTATTTGATCTTCTCACAAATCAGCAAACATTCAAGAAAGGTGTCTTTCAAAATTTTGATGATGACCTACCATAAGAAATACACACAGCTTCTGAAATAAAATTTTCACAAACCATTACTTACCCATACTAGTTACAATGTATTCTGATTTTCTTTTTTAATCCTGGTGATGACATGCTAAATTGATTTCATGGCTCACTAGTAAATCACAAACCACAATTTGAAAACCTCTGTTCTAGAAGAACTGCAACACGACAGAATATGGAGAGACAAAATTGCTAAACTTGACAATCTTGATAGACTAGTCACACCCCAATAGCATCAATGAACATTTCAGAGTGATTTGAAATAAAAAGTCAAACATACAAACAACGTTCCAAGGAACATCTACATTAAGAGCAAGTTGTGAATTAAGAGGAGGGGTACAAAGCAAAGAAGGAAAAATAAATGCTTGAGATATTAGGACAAACCCATTAGGCTTTCGTCTCCATTTCACAAACTATCACTCTAAGGCCTTTACCAAACACTGGAACGAATTACTCCATCTCCAGTATTTTATATGCTACTCTGCCTCTAATCTGATTTAAAATTTTGAGATTAGCTATAGAGAGTAGAGGGGGGGAAGGAGGTGGTCTCTGGATGACTAGGGATCGGTACTGATGCCATGTCCTAATCCTGGCTGCCTTTCTACCCAGAATGCAAATGGAGAAGAGAGAATCTGCTAAGCCCACCTAGCCCTTGCCAGCATTTGAATTAGGAACTTTTGTGGAGCCTCGCTATGGGAAAGAAAGAGAAGTATTCTAAAATGGCCAGCAATTTTTAGCCAGACATCTTCCTTGACCGTTGTCTAGAAATACTGACAACTGAAATTAAAGAGATTACTGGGACCGATCATGACTGATAAGTAACAGTAGAAGGCCAAAGCTAGAGAAAAAAGGGAAGTGAGGAGGAGATAACTTCATGGTAAATAATGTTCATTCTCCAGAAATAGAATGGAATACTTGAATTACTAACAGTTCTGTCACTAGAAGTGTAGGGTTTCTTACATTGGTAGGAGGTTAGAATAGGTAACCTGAAATTCCCTTCCAACTCTGAGAAATAGTAATTATAAGTTTAAATCTCGGGATTTCCCTGGTGGCGCAGTGGTTAAGAATCCGCCTGCCAATGCAGGGGACACGGGTTTGAGTCCAGATCCAGGAAGATCCCACATGCCGCAGAGCAACTAAGCCCGTGCGCCACAATTACTGAGCCTGAGTTCTAGAGCCCGCGAGCCACAACTACTGAAGCCTGCGCACCTAGAGCCCGTGCTCCACAACAAGAGAAGCCACCACAATGAGAAGCCCGTGCACCGCAACGAAGAGTATCCCCCCTCGCCGCAACTATAGAAAGCCCGCGCACGGCAACGAAGACCCAATGCAGGCCAAAAAAAAAAAGTTTAAATCTCAACATCAAATAATATTTTGGGGGATTATCAGATGGCCAAATGTTCTTTTAGGAACCCACAAAAGATAATCCTACCCATTAGCAAACCTTGTAATGAAGATATATACCCTGCCCCTTCCAAATCAGTGGCTATACAATGGGGGAAAAATTAAATATTTCATTTCCAAAATACCACTACCTGGTTTCATGACACATATAAACATCAAAATGTATCAAATCACACATTTTAAATATACAGTATATTGTTATATCAATTTTGCCTTGATAAAAGTATTGAAAAATACTATCACCAGTTTTCAATCTATGTAAACAAATTACTTCATTACAGTGATCAAAATGATCAACATTGTAGCTACACCCTAATACTTCCTGTTTCTTTTTAAAATTTATTTTCTGGTGTATTCTACTTTCATTGCATTCTTCTCACTTTCCTGGAAAGCATAGTAACTAAGCTCTGATAAGCATCTAGATTTTTCTGCTGCTATTCAAATGATCCATTATTATACTCTGGAACATATCTTTCCTTTAACAACTTAAATCATAGCCTACAAGTCTGCAGATTCCTTAATGATTTCATTTCCTTCTTTCCATTAGTTAAGGAAATTCATTTCTAGGCCATGTCTGCTTCCATGCTACCATTTTCTGGTGCAACTGTCATTCTCCTTCCTCCGTCTTTATGCTGAAGCTATCGGAAATAAAATTGGAAAACTAATAAGGGAAAGGAGGAAAACCAGCCAGACTACTCACATCAGATTTAGAGGACATATTCTCCTCCACGTCGGAATCATTGGGATCCACAATATCATCAAATGGCGGTAAAGTTGATTTCTTCTTCTCTGACGTCTCACTTTCAATTTTGACCTTTCCCATCTTGCCATGAGATTTATCTTTTATCTGTTTTTTATCAGCAGAACAAGTGAGTATCAGCGGTGGCGCGTTAGAAAAACTTTTAAATAAAGCCTCTGAGCTACTCTTTTTCCTTTTTTTGGCTGAGAGTTCTTCGGAATCTGAAATGGGGGGTCTTTTACTAGCAGCCTTCTTATCTTGCTGTCCACTGGTGATCGTGAGTAAGTTACTATCTGGTTTTGGCTCTTTCGACATGGGTTTCGGTTCCTTGAAGGCCATCTTAGGAACGATTTTTTCTTCTTTCAGTGGTTTATTTTCTTTGGGTTTCTTAGAGGATTCTTTGGAAGATTTGTTGTGATCCCTGGAAGGTTCTTTGAAGGCACTTTTATGTTCTCTGGAGTCTTTAGAAGGTTTTTCCTTGTGCTCCTTCGTTAATTTGTGAGGCTTGGAAAAACTGCTGCTGCTGCTACTGCTGCTGCTGCTGCTGCTGCTGCTGCTGCTACTGCTGCTGCTGCTGCTGCTGCTGCTACTGCTGCTGCTGCTGCTGCTACAACTGCTGCTGCTGCTGCTGCCGCTGGGATGGATACTCCTGTTGGGGTCCTGCGGAAAGGCAGGGAGAAAAGCAAACTCTCAAAACGGAACGTCCATGAAGACTAAGAGCCAGTCTCCTTGTACTACAGCTCCTCAAAAGGATCCTCCGTTGACTGCTCCCAAATGCATCGGAATAGAACCCGACAACCTCAATAGAATGGGTGGGAGCAGGGTGTGCGAGCAACCGTGCGTGTGGGCTACCGTGATGGAGGAATTGAATGAGGCAAGCTGTTCTCTTAATCATGACAAGCATGGGGTTCTAACCATTTCCAGTCAACAAATGTTCACTACACACTTGTCCCGGGAGAGACAAAGCTGGATAACACGTGGCTCCTACTCTCAGTAACGATGACACATCTATGATTCATGGTTATTGTAGGAGCCACCTATCACAACGAAAGGAACAGAGGAAATTAATTCTGTTGGGGGAGGCAGAGAAGAATAATTCAGAGATTTATGGAGAATTAACACCTCAACGAGGTCCTCAAGAGAAGCAGGTGATTACTAGAAAGGCAAGAATGAAAAGGTACTAGCTCATTCTAGTCCCATGGAGACCAGGGACTAGAATGAACTAAAACAATGAGGGATCAAAGCACAGCTTATATTTAGGGAGCAGCATCCAACGACAGCAAGGATTGAGAAGGAGGCAGGAAAACAGGCCAGGGTCACATAGTGAGGCCAGATAATATTAAATTTTAAATGACTTTTTAATATAAAGAATCACAAGTCTGAAAAAAGAAATAAAATAATTCTCAATTTTAGATAAAAAGCAGTTTTTTTTCCTGACCAAACTTCAGTTAAGGAACACATCTCCCATCCACTAGCAACAACAACAATGACAACAACAAAAGGGAAGAAAAAAGAAAAGAGAAGTCTAAAAGAACAAAGATTTCACCTAATGGTCATCAAATGGACTGAAAAGTCTTTGGCAATCATGTTGTGTAATCATGATGAAAGAGTTAATCACTGCCTATTTCATTTTAAATGTGTTCAATTTTTTCATTCATATGAACACCTCAGAATATATAACCTATAAATAAGCTTTCTATCTAGGAACACAATCTAAGTCCATACTTACCATGTTTCTGAACCTCAATCATTCACATAGTAAGAATAAGAAACGGAAGTAGATCCTGGACATGCAAAAATCCACACCAATACTAAAAGAAGAGCTCTTTCTTGTTTACTTCCACCTCCTAATGGAACCAAAGGCAATTAAATGTCCAGATTTTCAACTAGAATTTACATCTTCAGGCCTGTTATGTTTCACCTCTAACTTACCCACTTAAGTCCAATGATATGTAAACCAATACTGTATTCCTTAAATATCTAGCAGGACACAGGAAAGACAGTAGGCAAGGGCCATGCTTTTCATGAAAATGAACAATCTACTAACTGGGGCTATGCAAAAAAACAAAAACAAATACATATAGATTAACATCATAAAGCCATACCCAAAATGAAAAATTATTGTTCTATGTTAGTGGGAATATGTATTTTTTATTACAAAAATGTTTGTCTTATTTGCTCCAAAATGACATATACCAATTATTCCATTTATTTTTCCCAAGTGAGCATTTGGTTTCAAAATTCTAAAATGGATAAAGTTACTAAGACATGTTTTTGTCCATTAAACTAGATAATTCCTTACAAAACACCTTAATCTGAGGTTTAAAAGCAGAATGCTAAAGATAGTACATATTCATATTACTGAAAGGGCATTATTTTATAAATTCTATTATAAGACATTTCCTGGCATGTTAAGCAATATATGAATGATTAAAATAAAGTATTATGGACAAACTAAATTAAGGGAGAACAGTTTGAAATCTAATATACTTGAGTTTTTTTTTTTAATTGGTTTGTTGACCCACTGAATTTTGTCAATTTGCAAACGGTATTCTAATTATGGCTCTAGAACACCCAAGCACTGCTGTTTAATATTCAACCTTCATGGAGTATTATACACATTTTTATAAATACACAAATTTAAGCTACCAACATATTTTCTAGCATTAAGCATTTAAAAATATAACATTTCAGCACACACACAAAAAAGGACTTCTATACGGGTCCTTCCATAATTTATTTTTAAAATCCTTTTGTAGGACAAACTGAATTCTTAAGGCAAAGTACATAGTGGTATACGACACAGATTCTTGTGTCATAGAAAGTTCAAGTTCTCCTCTTAATTACATACATATGATGTTAAGTACAAAACTCAAGAAATTTTATAACTTTACTCCCCATGTTGGTCTAGGTATTAAATGCCTACTGTCACCTTTTCACCCACCCAGCAAATCTTGGTATAAGCAAGTGACCCAATTATTCTTGTTCCTTCCACTTTACCAAAAAGCACTCTTTAAGCTAAAGCAACTCAAGAGTTAACAAGGGAAACATATTCCATAAAAACACCCAAGACAAAAATTTAGAAAATAGGGGCTTCCCTGCTGGCGCCGTGGTTGAGAGTCCGCCTGCTGATGCAGGGGACACGGGTTCGTGCCCCGGTCTGGGAAGATCCCACATGCCACGGAGCAGCTGGGCCCGTGAGCCATGGCCGCTGAGCCTGCGCGTCCAGAGCCTGTGCTCCGCAACGGGAGAGGCCGCAACAGTGAGAGGCCCGCGTACCGCAAAAAAAAAAAAAAAAAAATTTAGAAAATAACAAAAACTGAGAGAACAGTTTCTATTCTTGAGGGCTACATTTTCTTTGGTCTGGGCCTGTGATAAATGGCAAAGTTCAAATGTACATCACCTGCCTCCATAGACTTACATGTAATAAATGTAAAACAGAGGCTTAGATACAACGTCAGGAATTAAATTGTTACTGACACAGAATAAAAGCTTTCACTGATTCTCAGCCCATCTATCCCATACAAATTGAGGATCAAGTCACTGGCTTTTAAATTTTTTTACTGAACTGTTAACCTCAATATTAAGTGCCACTAAGCAGCACAGACTAATTACCATTCAGCCAGTCAGCTCCAGGGGCCAACAGGTAGTGAGTGGGGCCTGAAGAATGTGACCTTGGGATTATAAGCATCTTGAGAGAGAACTGGTGTAGAGCTTGGTCTGCTCTGGATATCAAGCAAGACCCAGAAGAGTTCTACACATACATAACTGCACAAGTGTGGCCAGTCTTCCTGGCCCCAAAAGTGCTCAGGGGGCACTCAAGAGGAGAGAGTCCCCTCTACGCCTGAAACTAGGAATGCAAGAAGACCAGAAGGAAGGGACAAGGTCCTCCAAGTACACATGAAATATACAACGTGCCTGCTGCTATAGTGCAGGCTGAAATGCCCAGACCTTCCATCCCCTATAGGATCCCCTATAGGATTAAAACAAACTAAGGTCCCCTAACAGCTCAACCTGAACCCCAATGCACATATAAACAACATACCTAATGACAGGAGACAGTGGGAGGGAGCAGACCTAACAGATCTCCTGAAGGATAGAGACAAAATACTGAGGCCAAAAATAGTATGACTACTTAAGGAGAGTCAAGTAGAGAGCCAAAAATAATTTCTACAGAATTTTAGAAAATTAATTAGATGAAAATTTAAAGAAGTAAAATCTTTAAGCTGAATAATTCAGTAGATAAATTAAAAGAGAAGATGGGGTCTAACTGATGAATTAGAGTGAATGAAGGACCAACTGGAAGAAATCTCAAAGCATAAACTGAAAATACAAAGAGATGAAAATCATAAAGGAAAAAGAGAAAGGACTTGAAGAACAGATTAAGGCAACCTAACTAACATACAAACTATAGGAAAAGTTCCCAAGGAGTCTCCAGATGGGGGAAAAGGAAAATATATTAAAGTAATATAAAAGAAAATTTCCATGAACTAAAGAAGAGACTGAATTACAAATTTACAGGGCTCTCCAAGATCCAGCCAGGACTAATGAATGGAAAGGCACATGTTCAAGAACATCACACTAAAATTCCTAAGCTTTAAGGATAAAAAGAAAACCTTACAAGCTACCAGAAAGAATAATTACTTAATACTAAAAAAGAATCAAATTAACAATGGACTTCTCATTTGTAACACTGGAATTAAAAAGAAAGAACAGTAACATCTAGATTGCTAGGAAAAAAGCAGTACAAGCCAAACATCCTTCAGTGGGAAAGTAGTGTTTTCCAAAATTTAAGGATTCAAAGATCACATTAGCTACCACTCCATCTAAGGAAAGGACTTAAGAAGGGATTCTAATGGAACAATAACTGAATCAGAAATGAAACCTTTCATGTAAGAAGAAACAGGAGTGCAATTACTTTGCCTTCTATACAGAACTAAATCTAAATGGATAATAAACTATATGGAATATGTAATGTAAGTGCTCAATATGAATTTTTGACAAACGTCTAACAAAAATCTGGACCTAAAAATTAAATTATCTCCAAAGAAATTTAGGAACATTAAAGGAGAGGATTAGTGTGTGAAGGTGAAGGAAAATGTTGGTATCGTTATTCATGTTAAAGCAGGGGGGGAAAATTGGATCTATGAGCAACTGAAAAGGAAGGTGGCCAATAATGAAATGGAAAAGTACAGAACAACTGACACATAAAGAAGGGGAAACTGGGAAATGAATATCAACTTGAAATTATAAGCCAAATTTTTTTAAAAATGTAAAAAGTCACAAATATAAATAAGGAACAAGATAAAAAAGTAACAAAATCAGGTATCACTCATTAGAATTTAAAAGAAATCTGAATTCTCCCACTAAAAGACAGGTTGTCAGATGAGTTAAAAAGACAAAGGTCAGGGCTTCCCTGGTGGCGCAGTGGTTGAGAATCTGCCTGCCAATGCAGGGGACACGGGTTCGAGCCCTGGTCTGGGAAGATCCCACATGCCGCGGAGCAACTAGGCCCGTGAGCCACAACTACTGAGCCTGCGCATCTGGAGCTTGTGCTCTGCAACAAGAAAGGCCACGACAGTGAGAGGCCCGCGCACCGCGATGAAGAGTGGCCCCCGCTCACCACCTAGAGAAAGCCCTCGCACAGAAACGAAGATGTA